AAAAAAAAAAAAATACTGACAGTGTGTACCCAGCTTTAAAGTTGAACTCCGAACTCCCCACACTGCCCCACTGCAAGTAAATTTTCTTACTGGAGTTCAACTATTCAAAAAATGGTGTAATTCTCCAAGCCTGTGCTGTATGGTACAGCTGTGTAAATCTCAAAACTCACTTGATAGAAAAACAAACTCTTCCAACTAATGTCATGTTTCCTTTAAACTCTGAAAAAGTATTAAACTTCACACTTTCTTCTGTACATCATATTCAAAAAAGTAAACTGTAAATGGATATAAGATAAGTGACACATCACGGATTTGTTTGGTACTGAGTTATTGCATTCAATTTCTCCCCTTGGAAATTCTCTCACTGGAGCAGTCCTAAGAACGTATTACCAGCGTGCGAGATAGCATCATCATCGGTGGGATCTATCCGTAGTTGAACTTGTGGAACAAAGAAGAAGAAACGAAGAGTTGCCTGCCCACCCACATATAAGAAAAATGTAAATGCTGAAGCAAACCCAGTAACTGCGATTATACAGCATGAAAAGATGCACATTGCAGAATGTGGAAACTTTATCTTTTAATTATCAAGATATTCAAAAGGGGATTGAATAAACACAGATAAACTTACAAAAAAGATTTACCAGCTGGGAAAAATGTTTTGCAAACCATTTCTTATGGATGATGATGTGCTGTACTGGATAGCTATAACCTCTCTTTGTGTTCTGCATAACATTAGAAAATGTGTAGGCAGTGTGAGCCTGTCAGTGGCAGGGGCCAAGACCTGTAATACAACTTTGTTGCTTTCTTTGTCTCCTGTCTGATTTGCATCAGATCCAGCTCGGGAGAAGGAGAGGACAGAACAGGATGTTCAGAGAAATCATTGATCTCTTTCCAAAAAAATGACACCCCTATCTCCATGGCTTGCAAAGATTGATATCAGAGAGAAAACAGATCAATGCTGAAAATGTACTTCACCAATCTTTCTTTGATTAGCAGGAAAGATGTGGGTTCCACTTATGAAAAAAAGGTAAGAGATCCCCTGACACTTCTCTCAGTGCACTTTATCAACGTGAATGCAATGTCCATAATAAGTAATCAAGAAAGCAGATTCCAGGGTCGGTGTTTCAACAACTGGTTTTAAAATTTGATGAGCTGTCATGGACAATGCCAGCACGTCTACACCAACTTCACTATTCACTAGACCTTCTTTCCTTTGACAGTTTGATTGCACAAGCACTTAACATTATGTTCAGTATCTACTAACAGGTGTTTAAATGGTTGTTAAAACTGAACTCCAGGCAGATAAAAAAGATACTAATTAATGCAGCTCTGTATTTAATACATCATTAAATACACAATATAGCCAAAAGTATTGGGCCAGCCCTTCAAATCATCGGATTCAGGTGTTCCAATCACCTCCAAGACCACAGGTTTTTAAAATCATCACCTAGGCATGCAGACTGCTTCTACATACATTTGTGAAAGAATGGGTGGCTCTCAGGAGATCAGTGACTCCAAGCGTGGTCCCGTGATAGGTGGTCACCTGGGCAATAAGTCCATCCGTGACATTTCCTGGCTACTAAATATTCCACGGTCAACTGTTAGTGGGATTATAACAAAGTGGAAGCAACTGGGAACAACAGCAACTCAGCCACCAAGTGGTAGGCCACGTAAAGTGACAGAGCGGGGTCAGCGCATGCTGAAGCGCACAGTGCACAGAAGTCACCAACTGTCTGCAGAGTCAATAGCTAAAGACCTCCAAACTTCATGTGTCCTTCAGATTAGCACAACAGCAGTGCGTAGAGAGCTTCATGGAATGGGTTTCCATGGCCGAGCAGCTGCATCCAAGCCTTACATCACCAAGTGCAATGCAATGTGTCGGATGCAGTGGTGTAAAGCACACTGCCACTAGAGCAGTGGAGATGTGTTCTCTGGAGTGATGCATCACACTTCTCTGTCTGGCAATCCGATGGACATGTCTGGGTTTGGCTGTTACCAGGAGAACGGTACTTGCCTGACTGCATTGTGCCAAGTGTAAAGTTTGGTGGAGGGGGGATTATGGTGTGGGGTTGTTTTTCAGGGGTTGAGCTTGGCCCCCTAGTTCCAGTGAAGGGAACTCTTAAGGCGTTAGCATACCAAGACATTTTGGACAATTTCATGCTCCCAACTTTGTGGGAACAGTTTGGGGATGGCCCCTTCCTGTTCCAACATGACTGCACACCAGTGCACAAAGCAAGCTCCATAAAGACATGGATGAGCGAGTTTTGGGTTGGAGGAACTTGACTGGCCTGCACAAAGTCCTGACCTCAACCCCATAGAACACCTTTGGGATGAATTAGAGCAAAGGCTAGAAGCCAACCCTTCTCGTCTGATATCAGTGCCCGACCTCACAAATGCACTTCTGGAATAATGGTCAAACATTCCCATAAACAGTTCTGACCTCAACCCGAAAGAACACCTTTTGGATGAATTCAAATGGAGACTGTGAGCCAGGCCTTCTCATCCAACATCATTGCCTGACCTCAAATGCGTTTCTGGAAGAATGGTCAAACATTCCCATAAACACTCTCCTAAACCTTGTGGACGGCCTTCCCAGAAGAGTTGAAGCTGTTATAGCTGCAAAGGGCGGGGCCAACTCAATATTGAACTCTATGGACTAAGACTGGGATGTAATTAAAATTCATGTGCATGCAAAGGCAGGCGGCCCAATACTTTTGACAATATAGTGTATATATTTTAAATGCAAGCAGCGCAAGTCCCTGAATTTGACCTGGTATCCGCTTATTGAGACCTTCTGTATATCAGAGCTCTGGGGAGGAGGAAGCAGTACACAAAGCCAATCAAGAAAGCTGCAGTGCAAAGAGTTTGCTGAATGAAGGAAAGAGAGATGTAACAGAGATTAGTTCATTGGTTTGCTACTTCTTATTTTTCTATCTAGTCACAGACTGGGGGAGGGACCTGTAAGTGTTAGTTACCTGCAACAGAGAAAATCCGGTCTCCTGCCATGCAAGACAAGGCTGGGTTGTGTGGCAGAGCAGTGTGAAAATCTCAGGACTGGATGGACAAACAAATCCTTGGACAGGTAAAACAGCTCTATCATATGAATTTCATATGGGTTTACCTGTTTGTGTGGATTCAGCTTAAAGAGGAAAAAATTAAACTACTCTTGGAGAAGGGTTAACATTTCTGTTGAAAAACAAATATCTGCGCTAGAATGTAATAAAACAAAAAATATAAAAAAGCAGCTGACAAATAAAGGCAATATTGAAAATTGTAAACAGAGAAATGCAGCCCTAATTGACTAAATAATAACTTCCAAATTAAAGTTTATATACTGTAAATACTCCAAGAAAATGGAACAAAATAAAGGAGAAAAATCTTGATCCTATACCGTCACCATACACCCGGAAAAAAATGTCCCCTTACCGGACTCTTTGACCGTATGTGTCAGGAATGGACTGGCCAGCTATGGTGGGACTCACCTGCCTTTTGATCTGCAGTACCAGGGCTGGCCAGCGGGTGTTCCCAGCAATCAGAGACTCAACTTTGCAGCCAGCTAACACCTGTAACTGATTATGCTGGGGTATTTAAGGGATGGCCAGACCCACAGACTCTGCCTTGGTGTGTGTTTGGCCTGGGCCCTGTATCCTGTTTCTGTCCTGCATCCTGTTTCTGAACCGCTGCTGACTTCTCCTGCTCTGATCCCGGCTCGCTCCTGACCATCCCTCTGTCTGACCCTCTGTACCACGCTGCTTGCTACCTGTTCTGGTCCCTGGCTTGTGACCCTGACCAATCTCCGCTTGCTCCCCCTGTACCTACCTGCCCTATTGATATTGACCCGGCCTGCCTGACGACGCTTGCTTGTATGTACTGTTATCTGTGGGTGGTTGGTTGGTTGGGTTTGTTTGCACTGTATTATGTTTAGTATTGCACTGCGTTTATGTTTGTATTGTTAGTGTTAATAAATTATATTGTTTATAACATATCTGAGGTCTGCGTTTCCCTGCGTCAGTCACACATCTCTGGTCACACCTGGGAGCCCTGACATTACACCAAGGCCAATCCTGACCAGAAGTGGCTGCACAGGGAAGCCATCTTGGCTTGTTGATGGGAAGGATGGATCTGGATGAGGTTGAGTATTTATCTCTGCTAGTGCTTGATGACAGAGAGTATGCTTATCAGACTCTGAAGGAGTATCCCCGGGATGAACTGCTAGAATGTATACGGCTCGCTCATGTTCTAGTAGATCAGGGCACAGATTTCTCTATGGTGCAGCCATTGATTCAGGTTTGTGTTGAGTTGGTTTCATCTGGTTCCCCCGAATGCAGGGATGAATTTTTGCCACCATTTAGTGCAGACCAGGTTGAGTCCCTGGTGTGGTTATTAGAGGATGATGTGGGTTACTTTCTGGAGCGTTATTCCACATGTTCACCACAGACACTAAGAGATTGTATAAACGCAGTGCAGTCATTGACCAGACAGGCTTTGTGTAAGCTCAGCTTTGTTCAACCCATACTGCAGACATGGACAGATTTGTTGCACCCAGCCTCAGTCAGCTTACAAAAACCCAGTCCTGCTTCTAACTCTACTCCTGTATTCCCACCAGCTCCTCCAGTTACAGCCCAGTATACTTGGCTATCTACCGCATGTCAGTACCCTGTTCCCACTCGCTGCACCTATCCTGCCTTTAACCCTGTAAAAAAGCCCTCTGTAGCAACTGCTCCCTCTCCTGTTCCATCCTCCAGTTTTTCTCTGTCTCCAGCTGCTCCATTCGTTTGCAGACCTGCGTTTACTTGCAGTGCTCCAGTAGTTAAAACCAGAAAAAAGCGAAAATTCTTTCCAACCAATACCATCCTGCCAGTATCCAAACCGGTGAACCTGCCTTCCGTGACTCAGCCTGAGCCGGATGCCTCTCAGCCTCTACTCAGCCAGGAAGCCTGCATTCAGCCTGATGCCGCTACTCAGCATGATGAACTGATCCAGCCCGACGATCCTATTAGGCCAGTTGACTCGATGCCCGCTGTTGATCCAGATGATCCGGTACCTGATCCAGTGCCCGCTGTCGTGCCAATTGACTCAGAGCCCGCTGTCATACCTGGTGACCCGGTGCCCACTGCCTTGCCAGATGACGCGGTGCCCGCTGGCAAGCCAAATGACCTGATGCCTGGTGACCCAGTGCCCGCTGTCATACCTGGTGACCCGATGCCCGCTGTCGAGCCAGACAATCCGATACCTGATGACCCGGTGCCCACTGTCGTGCCTGTTGACTCGGAGCCCGCAGTCTTGCCAGACGACTCGGTGCCCGCTGTTCCGCCAGTCGACTCGGTGCCCGCAGCCTTGCCAGACGACTCGGTGCCCGCAGCCTTGCCAGACGACTCGGTGCCCGCAGCCTTGCCAGACGACTCGGTGCCCCCGCAGCCTTGCCAGACGACTCGGTGCCCGCAGCCTTGCCAGACGACTCGGTGCCCGCAGCCTTGCCAGACGACTCGGTGCCCGCAGCCTTGCCAGACGACTCGTGCCCGCAGCCTTGCCAGACGACTCGATGCCCGCAGTCTTGCCAGACGACTCGGTGCCCACTGTCGTGCCTGGTGACTCGGTGCCCGCCGCTTCGTCTGGGGGGGGCCCGAGACCTGTTGCTCCGCCTGAGGGCCCGAGACCTGTCGCTCCATCTGGGGGTCCGGACTCGGTGCCCGCCGCTCCGCCTGAGGGGCCCCCGAGACCTGTAGCTCCGCCTGGGGGGTCCGGCCCGCCGCTCCGCATGGGGGTCCGGCCGCCCGCCGCCCGCCTGGGGGCCCGATGCCTGTCGCCCCGCCTGGGGGCCCCGATGCCTGTCGCCCCGCCTGGGGGTCCGATGCCTGTCGCCCCGCCTGGGGGTCCGATGCCTGTCGCCCGCCTGGGGGTCCGATGCCGTCGCCCCGCCTGGGGGTCCGAGATGCCTGTCGCCCCGCCTGGGGGCCCGATGCCTGTCGCCCCGCCTGGGGGTCCGATGCCTGTCGCCCCGCCTGGGGGCCCGAGGCCTGTCGCCCCGCCTGGGGGCCCGATGCCTGTCGCCCCGCCTGGGGGTCCGATGCCTGTCGCCCCGCCTGGGGGTCCGATGCCTGTCGCTCCGCCTGGGGCCCGAGACCTGTCGCTCCGCCTGGGGGTCCGGCGCCCGCCGCTCCGCCTGAGGGCCCGAGACCTGTAGTTCCGCCTGGGGGTCCGGCGCCCGCCGCTCCGCCCGGGGGCCCGAGGCCTGTCGCCCCGCCCGGGGGCCCGGTGCCTGTCGCTCCGCCTGGGGCCCGCTGCCTGCTGCTTCGCCTGGTAGCCCGATGTGCCTCTGCCCGGGGGTCCGGTGCCCGATGTGCCTCTGCCCGGGGTCCGGCCCGATGTGCCTCTGCCCGGAGTCCGGCCCGATGTGCCTCTGCCCGGAGTCCGGCCCGATGTGCCTCTGCCCGGAGTCCGGCCCGATGTGCCTCTGCCCGGAGTCCGGCCCGATGTGCCTCTGCCCGGAGTCCGGCCCGATGTGCCTCTGCCCGGAGTCCGGCCCGATGTGCCTCTGCCCGGAGTCCGGCCCGATGTGCCTGCCCTGCCCGGAGCCCGGCCCGATGTGCCTCTGCCCGGAGTGCCCGATGTGCCTCTGCCCGGAGTCCGGCCCGATGTGCCTCTGCCCGGAGTCCGGCCCGGTGTGCCTCTGCCCGGTGTGCCTCTGCCCGGAGTCCGGCCCGATGTGCCTCTGCCCGGGTCCGGCCCGATGTGCCTCTGCCCGGGGTCCGGCCCGGTGTGCCTCTGCCCGGGGTCCGGCCCGGTGTGCCTCTGCCCGGGGTCCGGCCCGGTGTGCCTCTGCCCGGGGTCCGGCCCGATGTGCCTCTGCCCGGAGTCCGGCCCGATGTGCCTCTGCCCGGAGTCCGGCCCGTGCCTCTGTACCGCTGCCCGATGTCTCTGCCCGGTGTGCCAGTCTTTGATATCCCGCCAGTTACCAGACCCGGGCGGTGGAACATTTTTCCCAGCTAGGACTGTTTGGAGCGTCCTGAGGCCGCTCCTTGGGGGGGGGGGGTACTGTCAGGAATGGACTGGCCAGCTATGGTGGGACTCACCTGCCTTTTGATCTGCAGTACCAGGGCTGGCCAGCGGGTGTTCCCAGCAATCAGAGACTCAACTTTGCAGCCAGCTAACACCTGTAACTGATTATGCTGGGGTATTTAAGGGATGGCCAGACCCACAGACTCTGCCTTGGTGTGTGTTTGTCCTGGGCCCTGTATCCTGTTTCTGTCCTGCATCCTGTTTCTGAACCGCTGCTGACTTCTCCTGCTCTGATCCGGCTCGCTCCTGACCATCCCCTCTGTCTGACCCTCTGTACCACGCTGCTTGCTACCTGTTCTGATCCCTGGCTTGTGACCCTGACCAATCTCCGCTTGCTCCCCCTGTACCTACCTGCCCTATTGATATTGACCCGGCCTGCCCTGACGACGCTTGCTTGTATGTACTGTTATCTGTGGGTGGTTTGGTTTGTTTGCACTGTATTATGTTTTAGTATTGCACTGCGTTTATGTTTGTATTGTTAGTGTTAATAAATTATATTGTTTATAACATATCTGAGGTCTGCGTTTCCCTGCGTCAGTCACACATCTCTGGTCACACCTGGGAGCCCTGACAGTATGCAACGGTCAATATGCGCAGTATACTGAGGAATCAATATGGCAAATAATTTCCAATGGATATCCTTTCCCAAATGCAGGATGAAGACTCCGCTCTGAAAGATCCCCCAAACCAGACTAGAAACACTGATCAGTAAGCACGATGTAATAGGGACACAGAATGGTAGGTAATCCACAAAAGAAATCCTCTTGCAAATATAAGATGAATGATCAACTTTAAACTTTGCAAACTTTGGAGAATCTCTCATTTGGCAATCAGAAAAGGGATAAAGAACAGAGAGAACTCATAGTGCAGTAATCGGTAAAAACTTTGGCCAATTTATTAAAGGATCCACGTACATCAAATCATAAGATAACCAGCATTGAATGAACAAAAGTTTAAAAAAAGAAGAAACAACATCCCTCCAGAACATGGTGACGTCACACGCCGAAGCTCCACCCAGGGTGGAGCTTCAGCGTGTGAGGTCACCGTGTCACATGCGGCGTTCACACGTGGTGTTATTTTTCCCTTTTCTGATTGCTGGATGAGAGATTCTCTAAACTTTGCAAAGTTTTAAGTGGATCATTCATCTTATATTTGCAAGAGGATTTCTTTTGTGGATTGCCTAACATTACTGTTGTTTGAGTTACTGTAGCCAGTTTATTACACTGATAACACTGCTTTCCACCATTCTTCCCGTTACTCAGGCTTCGACAGTGATGATCTGTAACAGGTTCACAAGGTAAGCAGGAAGAACTTTTAGATCTGTAGAAAGGAAATAGAAACACACGTGGGGTGGTTGTCCCAGTTTCTAGTATGTCAAGAAGGCTTATGGCTTCAGCTTTTCCTCCTTCCAAGCCACGCCTCTAACGCATTTCACCAGCTCATGGGCTTAGTTATAGAGGCCCCCTATGACTAAGCCCACGAGCAGGTGAAACGAGTTAGAACGGCATCGCTTGGGAGGAGGCGAAGCTGAAGCCATTTTGATATACTAGAAAACAGAACGGCCATCCACTGTGCGCTTCTATTTCCTTTCTACAAACGGTAATTAGACAAGATGGGTCCTTGTGTCACTCAGCAGAGTTGGGAAAATCTGGCTAAACACTTTGGAGCTCCGAGCGGAGCTCTTGGTTTAATTGGTTTCTAAGAACTTTTTTTATATTGCAGTCTTTGGCTGGCCATACATGTGAAGATTTACCTTGATTTACCTTGTTCAAACCAGGGACTAGAAAATAGTAATTCATACATTCCTCCATCCACTCTAGAGCAACTGGCTCATTCGAATCTCCCGCTGCTGGCTACTGTATTCTGACAGACTACAATTTTTCAATCTAAATTTGTTGAGCTGGGCTGTGGTGGCAGAACCAGCGGTGGGGCAAATGACAGCTCCTTCTTGGTGCAATAGTGAAGAAAAAAAACACTGCCAATTGCATTTAAATACCGGCAATGACATTTAGCGGTGGCAAGTGAGGGAACCTGTCTGTATACACTGCTTACCTCCTCTCCTGCCTTCTCCATTGCTCCCCCATTTACAGTACACACGGTCGGGTCTCTCATTATCGGCACCTGTATCAGTTCACTTTTTCCTATCAGCAAAATGCCGATAGGGCTATTTTCGGTCGGTATGTTTGGGCCACTGAAATTTTGATGCATACCTACTAGTAACATTCGATTTTGCTGGCATTTGCACAAAATTAATATACATGCAGTTTCACAGAACAAATAGCTCTGCAGATAATAATTTAGAAATACACCCCCCCCCCCCCCCAAGTAAATACAATTCAATAAAAATGTTCAAATGCAGAACAACCTACTGGCACGAATTACCATATAAAATGCAACATACACTTCTGAAAAGGCAGCAGTTGCCTACTCAGAAGACCTGACTTGAAAAGAGATGTCACTGCCTGACAAATACAGGATTTCTTGTTAAACTTCAAAAGATTCAACCAATTACCAAATCATTTATACAAATGCACATGAACTAACTGAAGGCAGATTATCCGTGTTCTTCATACAGCATATAGCATTAATAATACATTACACATCACAGACTTCAGTGCAGGGCTATTTAGGAAAACTGACGATGATGTTTTATTAGTGGATCTACAGATACTTCACCTTCATAGCTCTTAATATGCCTGAAACTGAGGAACATACAAAAAAAAAAAAGAGCAGGACTACTGCCCTACGGATAGTGGCTGGCTACCACCACCTTTCTTTTTACAATACCAACCTTTCTTATATCCCTGATCAGTTTGAAGCCTATTCAAAGACAAAGTTAAAATCTAGGAACAAAATATGCACAAAATGTTGAATGAATGCAACATAAAAAATGATGTAAATCACAACATGGCTTGTATGATAATTATTATGTACTCAGGGGCTTTACTTTTTTTTTTTTTTGCACACATTTAAAAAATCATTTTAGGCATAAAGATTACACAAAACCTCCAAAATAGCATATATTTTCTGAAAGCAGACACCCTAGAGAATAAAATAGTGGTATTTCCAATGTTTTATGTCACACGTTATAACCGCAAATCTCTAGGAAATGCAAAATTTCAGTAAAAATCACTGACTTTTAGGGCAAACAAATGCAATAACTTACCCACATTTTTTGTAATATATAAAAGACAAGGTGACACCAAGTAAATAGATACCCAACATGCTAATTTTAACCTTAAATTCATGTGTGCCTATAAAATGGCGACAAACTTCACTACCCTATATTTTCTATAGGTGACGCTTCAAAAGTCCCCTATAGGTCATCAGTTTAGCGATACAGAGGAGGTCTTGTTCTAGAATTATTGCTCTCATTCCGGAGAAA